CCACCGAGACAATTGCGTTAACTGAAAAAAACCCAAGTTCGAAGTGTTACTATTTTTTTTAATGCGGATGTTGTTGTTTTTGTTTTGTGGCTGGGCAGGCAGGTGTGGTTTTGTGGCATGTTGTTACGTAGTTTCTGGCAAACTTTTGCGCTGAAATGCGCGGGTTTGGTAGGCTTGGGCAAAGAAACTGGCAATGGTTCCTTGAGAATCTACCAGTACCCTCCAACGGTTTGCATTTGGTTTTCATTTAATTTGCTTAAAAGTAGAAAAAAAGTAAAAAAGAACACAACTGGATACAGTTCTACTCAACCTGGCATAGTTATGTTCAAGCTGCAGTGAAGGGGCAACGAACAAGTTCCAATGGGAAGCCTATTGCAAGCGCACACTTGGAGGATCATGTTCCCACTGCTTGGTTTACTTCGCCGGCTGCTGGTGGGCTGGGCCGTTGATTCTACTTTGCTGAAGCATCTATGACTCAATAAGGAGGTGAGACCGGTGAGACCCTTTTTATATGTGTTCTTTAACAACCTTTTGGATTGAAGACCACTTCAGAGTACCTACAATGCAGCATAGATGTGTAGAGTGTAGATCCAAATCCTGCAAGGGCTAAAAGTGTCTCTTCCGGTTTGTGGTTCGGTTGCACATGGCTCGCGGCCGAACACCAGTGTGACTAGATATGATTCATATATGACTCATATGACTGCTAATTTCAAAAGGGATTCTCTTCAGACGGTGGTGAACTCCGGCCAACGCGCTGGATGACTTCTGACCGGACTGTCAGAACTCCTCGGGCATCATCTGTCAGGTCCTTCAACATGCTCAGCGCACGCTAGGATGTTTCCCGCTCTTCAGAGTTCCTCTGAAAAGCTCCACCTCCACCGAAACACCATTGTTGCTCATTGAGCATGCGATCGGAAGTTGGCCAAAAGATCCAATATATAGACCACCAGAGACCACCCCGAGATTCTTCAAGATTTGTGTGTACTCACCAAGTCATCAAACATCACCCGTTTGGTATTCACAAACAAGGTCTTCCAGTACCCTATGCCATCCACCTCCATGATTCTTGCAGGGAGTGTACAGCAAGAAAAGAGTGTTCCATTCTCCCTGACCAAGACATCTCCCTGGTGAGTCAATCTCGTATGTCTTGCTGAGTCCATCTGATCGCTTTCTGTATGACTTGCCTCGTGAAAAACGCTTCTTTTGCGCCAAAAAGGCGGCGTGCATCATCAAGAGACAGCATACATTGGACAAGTGACAAGACGTCGACTAGGATAGTACCTGTTCAGTATATACGAGCTTTTTTGGGAAACCACACCCAGACCAACGGAGACTCGGAGATGATTTGAGTTGTGAGTCTATTGAATATCCCAAGACGCTGTATTTTTCATTCCCTCTTCGAAATTTGCATGGTCTAGTTACCTACAGAATAAACATGAATAAGCCATCTTGCCTCAGCAAATCCACACCTATACATTACAGTCACCCGCCATAGTTGTAGCCTATAGCCATTTATCCCCCGGTCTTCACGGCGACCCAAAGGCCTCACCCACCGGAGCGCCAGACCATCCCAGACCATCTGAATTCTGATCTCTGACGTGATCACGGAAGAGCCCGCCCGGGCGGCGCTGTCGCCATGTTCGACATGTGCGGGGAGGGCGGTGGCTTTATGCCTGCCAGACGCTCGCTCAGTGATTCTTTGCGTTGGTGGCGTTGTCGATCAGAGTTGATGTCTTCATTCCACTAAGAATGAATCCAGTTGCTTGGAATGGGAAGGGGTTGGACCTGGAGAAGAATGGAGGGCTTTAAGGATTCACTGGGTCACATTCCACTGGGCCGGATGCACAGCCACTCCAGCGACGACGAGTCGCCCCACCCTCGCTGTTCGACGTTCGCCGAGCTCCGTGGCGGTTCACGCGTGGAGTCAGCGAGAGAGTGAGCGCTCAGGATGGAATGCCACGTGGTGGGGCTACTGGGTGGTCTGCATCACCGTGGAGGACTCTGTCTTGGCGATTCGCGTGGCTTCCGCTACGCTGAACTGAGCGCAGCACGTCTCCGCGCGGCAAACTGAGTTCCCGTGTGGTGTGGCGTTGAGCGTCGATAGTCTTTCTTTCGCGGGTTCCCATTATCCAACCACTTAGCGACTAAAAACCATTCCTTTTGCGTCTTTTGGAGCTGCTATAGGCTAGCTGTTGTTCTTTTTAATCTTTGAACAGCCGCGCCGCGTAAAAGGTTTCAACCACTGACGACATGGACATGGACAACCGCTTCTTACAGAGATGAGACCTTCTCCATCACAGAATTCGCTGTTCGCCTCAGCCCACAGATGCGAACTGGTTTTGGAACAGCGTAGCTGCCCTGGCGGGGAGGAGATTGAATCTACCTATAACCCGATCTATTATACAGGGTAAACCTACTTCCATATTTTTGGGGGCCCAAAGAGCCCATTTCGGAAGACCCCCCCAACGCGCCGCAACCACGACTGGCGACCGACGTCGGCCAGGACGTGGACGAGAAGGGCGAAGAGACCGACTTCGAGCGCCGCCCGGTGGACACCCGAAGCGTGGAGATCGCCGGCGGAGACGGTGGATCGGTCGTTTTGGGTGGGAGAAGATGGAGAATGTGCAAAGTGCCAACAGATCTCCAAAGAAGATGCAAAAACTGCACTGCTGCTCCCATGCTTTGGTTTTAATGTCTTCAGCCAGGGTTGCTACCTGCACGAGATCTTTGATCTTTCTGGACGGCTGAGGTTACTTCAAGTATAAGGACGACGATGACAACCAATGGGCCTCTGTGACTGCAGCGAGGGAGAAGAAGAATCGTTGAGTTGGGTCAAGAAGAGTTGTGCCATTCATTGAGCATACTTTGAGCGGGTGCTAATGAAAGATATGCTGAGCAGCTGAGCATATTGACAAGTTTCATTCTTCAGGAGCCAGAAATTACTAGGAGCAAAGGGCATCGCTACGAACAGAGCGATCGGACGCTACGAACGGGGCGAACCTGGCCTTACTACGAACGGAGCAAGGAGCAACGCTACGAACGGAGCATCTTGATTTAAGGGACTTTAACGACGCACGTCTACAATCGGGTCCTGTGAGTTCTGGTTCGGCTCTTGGGAGCGAGCTGAGGAACGATGTTCATGTCCCATGGGTCGTTGTGTCCCCGACTTTTCGTGATGTTACTCTTCTGTCGGTCGCTGAAGACGTTGGTTGCTGTGAGTGTTGTGGGTCCGTCATTTCGCCTCATTTCATCTCCCAAAACCACCTGGAGCAGAAATGTTTGATCAGGTGTCCAAACTTGTGTAGTTTATATATCTGGGACACCCAGACGTAGGATCCATGTCAGAAAAAATGTTAGTTGCTACCGACCAAGTTAAAGGTTATCAACCAGTATTAAATAAGGTTAAAAGTATATATGTGTAGCCTCAGTGGGTCATATATGCACCCTATATATTCCAAGTTCGGCACCCCGAGCTCTGTGACTCCTGATAGAGGAACCTCGAATCGATTCAAAGGATGAGGTGGATTGAGTACCCGAGGTGAAGACCACCTTACTGCGCTTGGCCAGTCCACCGGACCGCGTCGTGTCGCTGCTTGGACCGAGACCGAGACCCGACGCTTCGTTCTGGTTCGGGCGGAGCGGCTTAGTACATGTATATACATGTATGGCTGGTGCGAGCCACAAAACAGCGATTTGGAGCCGGAGGTATCTCTATAAACAATTATAAACAGGGTTTGGAGCGGTTCGGAGCTAGGGGGGAGGTCCCCAAGCCCGACAGCTAGCCTTGCTTGGTAGACAACTTATATTTTATGATCGAAGCTTTTCTTGATGACTCGTGGTTCATTGATATTCCTCTTCCTGTCACCCTGGCTTTGGGTGATCGATTTTTCCCACGAAGGTTGTGCCGAGACTGCTCGGGTTTGAGAAGTTGGTGACCATTGGATACCGTTGGTGTGCAGTTTTTGTCTTGTTTTTTTTGTGAGGAGTGAGGAGTGCATCCTATCTTAGTAAATCGTAGTAAATGTATATGTATAAAGCTTTATAATACATTAGGATACTCTATAGGATGATTTGCCTTGACTCAGACAAAACAGCCAATACAGCCAATGCGTTAGAGATGTTAGTCTGGATTCAGTGTTTGCCAAAAGAAGCGGGGACGAAGCGAGGATCACGATACCGGTATCGTGGTGAATCCAACCGTTTGACTCTCCCCCTTTCTTCCCGTCCTCCGGCAGAAGGTGAAAGTTCAACATGTAAACTTCTGACTTCGGTACCACCCCAAAAAGCAGGACATGTCCCCAAATCACAGTGTTCGCTCGTTCTTCGGCCACGCGGTCAGCCTCTTGTCGGACAACCAGGGGACAGCTCAATAAGCTGGTCACGGGCTTCACCGAGTTCCGTCAGGCAGGGCTCTGTCGTTCAATCGTGCCTGTCTTTGGTTCGAGAACAAAAAAGCATCCGTCCGTGTCCGTGTTTTTCGAAGGCCGGGTGGGTGGTCTAAAAAGAAAGAGAAAGAGAGAGAGAAGAGAGAGAGAGAGAGAGAGCGAACGCGCCAGAGATTCGCAGGTTCAAATTGAAGAAGGAAAAACACATCATGGTGAACTGGCGCGGCCACATCTTATTTTGTTGTCTTGAGTAGACTCTGGAAGGGGATCCATGAACCACGTAATCTAAGTCTGGTGTTGGAGAAATGTTGGAGGGATGAATGGAAAAAACAAAGAAACACAACATCTCATTTTTGGATGTGTAGACGAGTTTGCCAGGCACCAGTGGATTGAGGTTGTGTTTGTGTTGAAGTGTTCGTCTTTGGAGGATTCACCTGACCCCCCCCTTGCTTCAACCCATCCAATGACATGCAGACAGAGGAAGGTTCGCCAAGCAAGTTTTTGGGTTTCTGAAGGCATCAGGGTCTGGGAAAGATAACATCCAGTCGTTTTCATTTGCTGACCCTCAAAACATTTAATACATTGGCATTTGCTCGAGTTATTGGATCATGATTTCATTTGTTCCAAATTCATGCGAACCCATTGACCTTCAGGGAGCCCCCAGCTTCAAGTGGCATCAGGGTTTGTTGACCTCTCCCACCCCAAAACCAAAAAGGCACCCGAAAAGGCTGCAAAAAACACCGAAAGTGGCAAGGATTGGTCGCACCTGCCTCGTGGCTGGCTCACGTATCACTCCTTCAACTTCATTCACATCTCTGGAGGTGGGTTCGCCTTTCCGGTCGATGTTAGAAGCCCTTTCGAGAGGACTGGAAATGGACGAACATCTCTGACGAAGACCTAGGTGACCTAGCCCTCAAAGACCACCAACAACAATGTTTGACCGACCGTGTTGTAGGCTAGGAGCTTCGGGCATGCGGCGTGGTCCGGGCGAAACAACGGCCGTTCGTGTAAAACTCTTTGACAAAACAATGGCTGTTCTGAAATATTCCGTGGATGGCATGGGCCCCTGGAAGATTCTTTTGCTCGACACCCTGAGGGAGAGCAACGAACGTAACCATGCGGTTTGCTCTCAAAGTCGAACCTCTTGAAGAGGTTCTTAGTGAAGTGAACGATATGAGATGCCACGTGACAAAGTCTTAGGGGTTCATTGAGACTCAGCGCAGAAGTTCTTGCTGAACAATTCGAGTGGGACAAGGATGGACAAGGGTGATATTCTGTCTACAAGTTCGCTTGGTGGAGGACGATTGAATACAAAACGAAGGGGTTCTGTTTGAGGGTTCCTGAAATTAGAGGCTTGTGAATTGGGGTTTCCAAACGCGATCACAGCATATCACAGCATTTTTCACCTACATTCTCACGGTTCGATCAGGACAGCGTGGACTCCATGATGTTCTGTGCTCCATCAGCTCAACCGATGCATTTCCCGCGGAACATTCGGGTCATGCGGACCGAGTGCGGGTGATGGTTTGTTCGACGTCACGTGGTGAGCATCCAGGTGAACTCACCATTTGCTTGGAGAAGAAGACTGACAAGCTGGACAGACTCGGGGGGATTGGGTCTCGTGAATCGAATGGATTTGTTTGGAAGATTTGGGTCGGCCAGAACGGGTAAACAGATTGCTTGAGTGTACTGTTTTCCTTGCATCACGGCCATGATGGAGAAGGGGCTAGCTGTTTGGAAGTTCGTGAACTTGAAGCCAGAGGAGGTGAGCCACCAAAGCTGGAAGTCATTGACAAATGACACCACCGTGGTGTCAGCAGTTTCCACGGATCAAGATCAGCAGATCTGCCGATCCGAACCGAAGAAGGCAAGTCTTCAGCGATTCCAAGTGGCGATTTATAGCAGTCTTCAAGATTGCCAAGAGGGATCAAGAGGGGTATATAGATTCTGGATGATTCTGTCCAAATCTGTCCAACAGAAAGCCACATGTGCTTCGAAAGCGTCGCATTTCTGCAGAGCGAAAGCTGTAGCTCATCCGACGGATCTTGGCCTTGGAGTGGGCCAAACAAAAAGCCCAATGAAAGCAAGGAGCATAGAAGCAGCAAGTGGCAATCTGTCTTTGAACCTCAAGAATCGAATCAGTATCATCAAAGATGATGGAATTTACAACTTCACGCACAAGAGGCTTGGTGGAGCACCAACTAGATCCATGGCACTGTGCACCAGGGACTACAACCATGCTGGAGCAAGTTAGAACATGAAGAAAAAGGATGACACGGGTATTTTTGGCTTTGTTGATAATGTTGCTACTGTTTATTTGAAGGCGCTCATTGATCAACACTCTATACTGTAGTCATGTTTAGGGATTTATGATTTTGGCTTCTAGTAACTATAGGGTTAATCTCTGCTTAGTTGCGTATGGCCTCACGCCTGCTTTTCAAAGGAGCCCGTGGCTTTTGGTACGACCACCTTCTGCTTGGTGCTCACTGGGGGAAAGGCGAAGTCTACAGCCCAGTGTGGGCTGACCATCTGGTGAGTGGCAAAATGGTCTTCCATTTGCCTGCGAACACTCCCATCACTCCAAAAGGTGAACGACATTGATAATGTCTTAAACACATTCATAGGAGCTAAGTTCGTTCAAGGTCAAATGATGTTAGTGATGTGTGGTGTATTTTAACTCATTACTTGCATTGCTTTGAGCTTACGATTGTTGTTCGATGATATTCAGTATGACATGATGTCAGTGGTGCCTATTGTATAACTTAACATTACTTACACTGCTCAAAACGTATAAATATTCAAACTATGAATATAGCCCTTCGACTTCCAGATCACATCGAGTTTTGCAATACCTTAAGTAACCCACTCCCTCCAAACAAAAGAAGACATCGGACCCGCTAACCCCATGGCCCACTCTTCCGGTCTTCGGTCTTCAGGAGATCATGTTGGCAAAAGGCCCCAGATCCACCAACTTCATGCAGGACGGGCGCGGACCGCGCAATGGCGGTCCATGGCGGGAGGGTCCAATTTGAGCAGAAACAAACACAAGCCATGTTCAACTGGTTCTTTTTCAGGGCCGAGAACCCCCAAGATGAGAGGAAGTCTAAATCTTATACAAATCACACCAAACCAAACCAAACACAATAATTAGTAGACCAGGGGAACTGCTCCAAGAATCAGCTGCACAAACAGGACAACACATGGACTGCGCTCAAAAAGCCCTACTCAAAAAATATAGATAAACATAAACTTTGAAGGCTGTAGATGTGTTTTTAAGTTTTCGTTTAGAAGCGGCCCCCCCGGCAGAATATGGTGATACAGCAAGGCAGCGCTAGATTGGCGCTAGGTTGGCGCTAGGTTTCTTCATAACAGGATAGCAAGCAGGAAAAAGAAGAAACAAGCAGAGAGCAGGAAACAGAAGAAGCAAGACAAGAAAAAAAGAAAAGCCAAGAAGAAGAAGAAGAATAATAAGAATAATGCACAACAAGAAGAAGACAAGCAAGCAGGAAAAATAAGAATCTGAAAGGATAAAGAAATCGACGTAGATTTTTGCGCTAGGCTGGCGCTAGATCCGCGCTAGTACCGCGCTAGACGACGGTCCATTTCTTGATGACCATTTGCCCATCCAACATCCAAATCTTTTGAGTCAGCTCTTACGTCCTTCCTAATTATGTCGTTCTGAAGATTTTTGAGAACAAAAAGTGGAAACAACTGCAGGAGTCCAGCAGCAGCAGCAGCAACTGCTCCAGCATCTCAGCAGTCCGCGCTAGACACCTCTCACAGTTTTTTCAGTTCACACGCCTTCATGTTTAACATCCCTGTGGTTTGAGTGTGGTTGAAGTTCACAGGAGATTTAGAAGCGGGCCCCCATGGAATTGCGACGAGTGCACCATTTTGGGAAAAGACATTTTGGAAACCAACCACATGGGTTTGTATGTTTTTGGCGTGTACTTCCTGATGTAGTGGTTGGAAGTTCGACTTGAGCGATTCATACCATACCCCCGAATCATATCCCCGAATCATACCCCTCAAAACGTTACACGTAAGAACCAGGTGTTAAGGTTAAGTTTTTGGTTGGTCTTTGTGCCTTGTAGATGTCCATGAGCCAATGGTGCATGATGTTTGCAATTGTGTGATCCATGGGCGCTCAATTTGCCCAAAATTATTTGTGTCTTCTTGTGGGAAGAGCAAAGGCTCACATCCCAGGGGTACTCATAATGTTCCGGGAAGAAGAGCCAAGGGACCGCCTTCTTTTGCAGAATCTAATGGCCATACGAATTGCGCTCGATTCATGTCCGATTCATACACACAGTCTCCCACCCATTCCACATCCTGGTTGTTTTGGTGGGGCCTGGAGAGGGCCACTGGAGTCTTTGGTGGAAGAGTGCATTTGCCTAGTCTGCCCAGCATCCAACCAGCATCCAACAGATGCTGCTTGCCTACTGCCTCTGCGCAGAGTGGGCCCACTGCTGGAAGTCCGACTAATCCAACAATACAACATAATACAACTTCAAAGCTGCGAATCATCTGCGAATCATACCCTCGAATCATACCCTCGAATCATATACCACCTATTCAAACTTCCCGGCCCGACTACGGTAAAAACATACACACCCACATCTCTTTGTGTTCTCCCCATGGATCACCTTGTTTTTGTAAATCAATTGGATCTCCAAACGGTGCGGCAACCGGTGCAGTCTACCGTCCCAGCGCCGTCCGTCGCTCGTGATCCGTGCTCCATCCGAGGACTTCTCCGCGTTGATCCGTCCGAGGAATCCTGACAGGTGGGTCGGGGGATGAGACGGACGGGATGGGGCCCATGAAAGCGAGTGGGGTCTAGAGGCTCCTGGTGTGAGTTCCTTTGCCCCATCCCAGGCAAACCACAAAATAAGGAACCAGTAATTCTAGGTCTATGGTTTTAGTCTTTGGAACCACTGGTTACCAGCTATGGTGGTAACTGGATGCCCTGGGTTGGTTTTCTCCGCCTCAACGAAATAGTTCCGTTAGCTGTCAGTAGCACGTCGCCGAGACTTTCCATGTCAATCATAAACTGTCCATGTCTTTCTTCAAGCATTTGCTTCCCCTACCCTCATGGAGGAAATTGAATATTTGGATGTCTTTGTTTTGGGAACACCTATATAGGAACACCTAATCATAGGAACACCTGTCCCAGATGCTCCATGGGACTGCCATATATGCCGATCCAGTGACACCCCAGGTCAACCACCCCAACTGATCGGCAGAAAATTCCATAGAGTGTTTGTCAGTATACCATACCATGCTGGCTTTCGAACTCTCGGCCGCTGAACGGAGCGGAGGTGTTCCGCCATGTCGCACCGCGCGGCGGGCCCCGGCATCACGGTGGCCAGGCCGGGAGTGGGGCCCGGGAGGACGCGAGGAGCGAAAATGGGAGTGTTTTGGTTGCCGGAGAACGGCACAGGGTGACACCTGGATAGCTTCAGGTCAGGCAGGATTCTTCAGGTCATGGGGGGGGAGACTTCTTCAGATTGTAAAAGTATGCACATGTGCACAGTTTTTTTTTGCTTTGTGAAAATTGTGAATACACAGGATTCGCCCAGTTCAGAGCTCACAGTAAAAAGGTAAAGAGGAGTCAGTTCAGAGGTATGATTTGGCATTCCCAAACACATCACGCCTCTTCAGCTTCAGTGTGTTCCGTGTTTTCACCGTCCTATTCTGCTTGAGGACTGCCGTCCAACCCGTAAAAAAGCCTCCAACTCCAGCGCTCTCCAGGCTCTTCGAGTGGATCGACGGGCCCCTGGCACGAAGCTCGGGCACCCTGGGAGGAGGACCGGTGCATGAGAAGAAAGAACCATCCACCAGCAGTCACAAGACGGGGGGCTATCCATGGAAGTCGGGGTGCCCCTGTCACATCCACTCACTGGATGGGACGAACCAAACCACCCCGTCTTGTGACTCCTGGCATGTGGTTTTTGGAGGGCCCCTGCAAGATCCGAAGAAATGGCGCTTCCGGCCGGTTTCTGGCAATTGGGCGGCATTTTACGAGAGGCCAACGGGATCGGTTTGGTCTCGAAGTCTTGTGTTGAGCAGGACTGCTACTGCTAGTTGTCCCCTACTAAACAAGCCTGTTCGGACTCTGAAAAGAATTATTCAACCAAGTTTCTTGGACTATTCTTTGACTATAGCAATTGTTTGTGTTTTACAAATATATTTATGCTGAATCGCCGTTGTTTTGGGCCTTCCGAAGTTCAGCGTCTTTATGGCTTGGGAAGAACTTCTACTCCTCTCGACGCTCTGCAAACATGTGAAATACATTGAAATACCCAGGTTTGGAATACCCTCATATGCAGTTTCTCATGTGGCAACCCGGGGTCCTGAAGGCTGGCAGCCCTATTCCCTGATGGGCGCCAACTGCCAGCATTTTGCAGAGGAGCTCGGCCTTCAGACTTCAGATGCCGATGTACCCGCAAGTAGTCGAAGTGTTGTGTTTGAATCCCTAGGGACCTTCTCACAAGGTACTTCGACCCTCCAAACCTACATAAAAGTGTCTCCAATCACCTTCTGAGAAGGTACTTGGATCCCTAGGGAATGTGTTTGATTACCCAAATACTCCATGGATGGTCTATGCCTGCATTCGCCGTTGTTCAACCACCGCATGTATATAGCTAAATATGTCACACATGGAGTGGAAAGGGGCTGCTACGGCTTTCACGCAACAAGTTTGGGGAAGTGTACACACACAAAGAGAGGTGTTCAAGCAATTGTTCGAAGGGAACTTGGCTTTGTTCCTCCTCTTCTGACAGATGGACAAAAAACGCATCAAAACGCATTGCATCATTTTGCCATGTTTTGCCCATGAAGCCATGTAATCTCACAGCTGTCACGCTTGGTGTTTCCAACACACCCACCCACCTGGGCTACTCTCCGCCTGCTCGCTGCCATCTCTCCGGCCTCTCTCCGCCCGATGTTCGACGCGTGAGGAGCTGCACGAGTTCTTGTTGAACCCAATGAGAGCGGAAGACGATCACAAGATCCAGGCCGCGGGCCGCGGGCCGCGCATGAGACGTGTCATCCGGCTTCAGACAAAAGGAAGGACCCGAGGCGTTTTGGACGTGTATAGGTGGGTTTAGAATACCACCTTCCCCCCGGGAAACGACCCCCTGTTTTGGAAGAAGAACATCGACCACTTTTCACTGATGCTGGTGCTGCATGGTGCTCCACCGTTGTGGTTCCACATGGTTCCACTGGTGCATTTGGTCATGGCCTGTACCTCTCCCTACCAAAAGGGTCTGTCAAAAAGCATTGGCGGCGATGTCAGAATTCTTTGGAGCCCCTTTGCCTGTACTTTAGCCCTTGTGATTGAAAGAAGCATGCCTTTTCACAGGACACTTTTCCTTGCTTGCTTGCTTCCACATTAGCAGCTTCATTGGTCAACTCCTTTGAAAGAAAACCTGATGTGCTGCTGAAGTGTAACCACAGTCTTCGACTGCGCGCTCAGGTTCTATGGCCCGTGCGAATGCACACATCTCATCTTTCTTGGCCCACAAAGGTCACATTGCAAAAAAAGTTGATCCCGCAACACAATTGGGTTTGGCCAGAAGGCACCACCGCACAATCGAAAAGAACCAAAAAACTGGCAAAAAAAAGAACAAAACCGACACTAGTTACAGGGATCGGAGTTTCACAGGACACACCGGACCAAACAACACGACATCGATCGATCCATGAATTCGCCTGACAGGGTTTTGTTGTGTTCCGAATTCATCCCCAACAGCATACCTGGATCATCCTGTGTGGGTATACACAATAAAATACCCAGCCCACTACGTAGAAGGACCTCTAGACCGAACACCCAGTCCGGATGATTCTGTGAATGTCATGGTTTCATGAATTTTGTTTGGCTTTAAATGCTACAACATGCGCAGCACCCTGCGGGACGTTGTTGTTTCTTTTTTGGGCAGCACGCGTTCATCCAGGAGCTGCCGGATGTGCTCCACACCATCTCCCTTCAAGTGTCGGCGAACCCCAAGGCCTGGGCCTGTTGGTGCGACACAACACTCGGCAGCCATGGGTTCTTTATGGTTCTTTCATGATGTGGGTGTGTATTAAAATAGGGAGACCTCCGAAAATAGACCAAAACTTCACTGGGTGGGGGTCTCCCTATTAAACTATAGATAACACAGTTTTGTTTGTGATTTTTTCATCACGGCTGTTTGTGAGATTATGCTGAAAGGACAACTCGGATCGTTCACCAGAAGGACCTTCTCAGGACCTTCACCATGAGATTGCAATGACTGCCTACTGGAATCATAGCATGTATACATGATATAAATTCCATGTAGTGATCATTCATTGATCTAATATGTCTTTGTCATACATAAGAGTATAGACTGCATAGACATGTGGTAGTTGATGGCACCCACCGTTTCGTGATCGCCTGATTCACGGCCGAGTCCATCGGTCGTACCACGCCGCCACGACGCGACGACGAGGTCTTGATGCATTTGCCACCACATCTGAGCAAGGAGCGTTCGGTGGCACTCACCGCAGCACCTTGGAGAGCTGAATTAAGAGAAGTTGGTGAAGATTCATCCAGAGTCAGTGCTCATGCCGTTTTTTGTTTCGCTGTTTTGGGCTGCCCCGGCTCGACGGTCTCCCCGGTGCATGACATCGAGGGTCGGCAATCGACGGCATAGACAAAGCCGAAAGACATTGAGTGGTGTTTTGCTTAAGTTATAGGATGGGGACTGATCCGAGAAAGATGAAGACATCATGTTGATGGTTTTGCCGTGAATATATTCCAAATCGAACGTCCTCTTGAACAAACATGAACTCAATGGCCGAGGATGAGTTGTGCTTGTAGAATGGTAACGACAAAAAATGGTGCGCAATTCTGTGCACGTAGGAGTGCTCGGTTTTTCTTGGAAGCCACATTCGTTGTAAGTATGACCTCTATTTCCGCTAACCAACCACCAAAAATATAGAAACATAGAGTCGTGTCAAAACAGAAGTCCAATGGGCTCTACTTCTATATTTTATAATATGCACCTTCAACACTTGTGCTCTCCCCAAAAAACCAAAGGGCTTCCTGAGGATGCCAGCGCATGACCTAGGTCCAGGTCCGTGGTTAGCCACCTCCCCGCACTGGCTAGCACCTGTGAGGGCTCTGACTGAGATGACTTCTACCACAGCTCCCAAGGGCTTCGCTCATTCTGGGCAGAAACTGAGAGCCTTCCAGATCTTGGCAGTCCATGTGGATGAACCTATTGATGCATGTCTTTTGGAGGCTTCGGTGTGGGACGAATCACCTCCACTTCATCCGCTCGATCCACTCCTTCCGCTCGCCATGCTCATTGACTCATTCACCCGACTTGGGGAGGACGGGACACTCCGTGGTCTACGGGTACACTCCGAGTCATTAACATGGAAGTGGGATGCTTGGAAGACTCCTTTTCTTTACAAACAGAAGGTTTCCACTTCCATGTGAATGAGTCAGGAGTGGAGTTCAGTCTGGAGCTTTCGAAAGCAAACCGAATCAGGTCACCACGAATGGTCGTGCCTTGGAATATGTGGGTGAGCAGTTTCAACAGGACTGTGGAGATCCGTGACGGACCTTGAAGACGGGAAGAGGACAACAAACTGGACACGCCACACGTCTGGTCGGTCTCCATGTTTGTTGAGAAACGGCCAGGGGTGGTGCCAGGGGGTCAATGTAGGATAATGTATAGGCATATATCATATATTCTATAATACACAGTATATGGAAGAATTGTCGATCCAGTTTGTGATCCATTAATCTTTGAAGGCATCGCGGCATCGCGTGTTATTTTCTAGATATTTCTAGTGGCGCAGCCATGCACATCATTGCATAATATTCTTGTTTTCCCGCAATTGGATCCCATTGGGACATCTTGCACGGTCTTCCAAACACTATCATTTGCTGCCTTCAAGAGTGGCAAGCACACTCTGTTGTGGGCAAGCACACCACTTGGGCAACTGGTGAAGGTCCAGCTTTAAAATAGTTTCAGGGACTAAAGTTCCAGTTCTCCGATGTTCCACGGGAGTTTCTCAAAAGAGTCTCGTCTTCTTTGCTTCCCTCGCGCTCGTCCTGGTGTTTCTCACCAGGACTGGCGTGTAGTCTTCCTCGCGGTGCAGCAGGACATGGGTGAGGAAAAAGGATTGGCCGGTCTTTCTTTTTTTTGCGGTGCATGGTTGTATTTTTTGCACTTAGCAGTTCTAGATTGTTCTGAGATTTGCGCAAAGATTCTTCGGTGACCTAGATCACAAGAACATATTATACATGTTTCAATGATGCAAGAGATGCTATTCTTAATTTGTAGCTTCATTAACATTCATTAATATGTTTCAGACTGGCTGTGAACTCTTCACATCTCCACGCAGTCACCGCACCTGCCACGTCACCGGGAGTGACGTCACCGTTCAACCGACGAGGATGGTGACGCGTTGGAGTTCGCCACCGAAGAGCTGAAGAAGGACCGAGAGGTGGCGATCGGCTCGATTTTGTTGGGGACTGACCGTAGGTTTTTTGATGAGTCTTTATTTTTGCTGGGGGGAAGATGTTCTTTCGAAACGTTCCAAATAGTTTGCCAAGCCATTTTAACTATAGGTGGTGGTGTTCAAATATGTTGTGTTCGTTCTTTGCTTGGGATGATTGAACCCACTGACTCTTTTTTTTGTTCGTGAGTTGAAACCAATCCAACCAGTGATGTCGTTTTTTCCAGTCGCGACACGGTGATGTTTGGCCACTCCAGTTGGTGGCACCGGGCCGGAGCTTCGGTTGCAGGTGGTCTTGGCGGCAGTGCAGAACAAGGGTTCTGCCCTGAAGCTCCTTTTTGCGCAAGGAGAAGGGTACTCGTATGGAGAACGAGCTGAGAAGATCTGCAGAATATCACAGATGACCGATGTAATTCAAGAAACATGGTACACGGTGATGTCACTCACCCATACTAGCTAACTGAATCTAACTGATAAATAGATTCCAATTCCGTTGGTTTTCCTGTTTGAATTTGCTAGTGAGCTGTTAGTGGGTTTAGGTGGTATACAGTTTGAACCGAAATCTCCGCTTACTTGCTGGAAAGTTGACCAGTAAAAAAACGGAACAAACCAATCCACAAAGCCAAAAGTACATCAAGGACAGTGTCGCGTTTTGTCTTACCTAAACGACTGCATGCATTTATCACATGATGTCTCACTTTTTCGATGTTCCTTTTATTTTTGAACCTAAGCAAACTGCTTGGCACTGGTGGCTTTCTTTTGAAACATCAAAACCTTAAATGTTCAATCACAATCCACAATCCATTATTTTCGTGTAGCGTCCTTCAAAGCTTTGTTTCTCACCGGATGACCAAAAACAGCTCACAATTTGCAGTGTCGAACTTTCAGACTTGTGGATCAGAAGCCTCGCTGCATGGCCCAAGTGGTTTTCTTCCCTCGTGAACTCCCCAAAGACGTCGTGAAACCCGTCAGATTGAAGACGTCGTGCTTCGTGAAGCTGTGCATGTTGGGCCCAGAGAATCCCCCTAAGGCAGAAGGATGTCCCAAGCCTGAATTATCAGGCAGCACCAGTAGTTCCGTTCCAAGAGGGTGCCGAACGAACGGACAGGGGTGGCCCCCCTTCACATCACATCCACTCACTTGCGAACTCAAAAGAACTCTGGTACATGCATCTTCATGTTCAGTGCTTGGTATCTCTTTTCAGAACACCGCTGCCTCACGCTTCGGCCGCTGCCTCGCTCACGAGCTGTCAGGTTTGCCCACCCATCCTTACACCGGGACAGCCAGCTGCTTCTCGCAGCGCCTTGGACGATGGACAGACACAGCCTGGGGATCTATATGTGTGTAATTGTGTGGTTTTTAAATGATCCCTACACTGCTAAATGCGATGTTTTTGAAATACAAAAGTTAAACATAGTTAAACTATGTTAAACTTCAGCTTTGAAGCGCAGGGTCTAATTAGGTATAGTTTGGTGCTAAGGGTTAGGTCATTTTTGAGTGTGGTCCATTGCAAGTTGCACAAGTTACGTTCTCGAACCGACGCTTTGGCCCTTCAAATACCCCGAAGGCTCTCCTGTCGACGAAGAACGTCCTGTTCAGAGGATTAAGAACTTGTTGCTTTCCAGCACGTAAAAACCCTTTTGCTCATGATGGGTTAAGCTCTTAAGACTCAGCACCTCAGAAGGTATTCTTTGTTACACTTCCCTCACCTCACCTATGTCCTAACTCCCTTCACCCCTGCGGGATGGGTTCCGAGTTCGTCTCCACGTCTCAGCGCTCGCCGCGGAAAAAAAATAAAACTCACCTCAGGCGGGTTGGCACGCACCCAGCGTCTTCGTCTCGACCTGGAGCTCCGAAGCCGATGCTTCGCCCAAGTCCACCTCCAGAGGTGCCGAGGTCAGGCCCGGATGACCAGGGGGCACTCGGAGCAGTCGGGTAGGGTAGATCTCGGTATGGTGCGTGGTGTGTCTTCTTTCATCATCTGGGGTCTGGGGGGGCGTTGGTGGAAGCCAACCAGAGGACCGTCGGGGTTCGGAAGAGGTGTGAGGAAGAAAGAGCAGCTGAAAAGGTGAGGAAATGGAGATGAAGGAACCACCACAAAGGTGTCTTTCTGTGATGGTTTTTGGTGTGGAGTCAAACCAGTTGTGAACGGCTTTTGAAGCGTTGAACTTGGATCTTTGTTGCGTTTTTCTGGGGCAATAATTCACCTTCCACACCAGCCAGCTGCGGGCTCGCAGCTCTTTGTGCTGCGGCGGCGATCCAAAGGATCCAAAGAAGAATCCGAGATCCTCAAGAATGGACTTGTCTGACTTGTCCTCTTAGATCTCTGATCAGACCTTACAATGACATCAATGCAGTCCATGCGGTTTTTCTCCGGTTTTTTAGCACCTCGAAAAGTGTCGATCTCGTTCGATCCCAAGAGCAAAGGCAGCCGCTCAGTGCAATGACAAGAAGGTCTAGTGCGCCGAAGCAGCCCTGGCCAACATGTTTGGGAACCAGAAGCTACGAACGGGGCTCCTGGCCGTACTAATTACTAGGAACAAGGACGCTACGTTCGAGGCTTTGATGGAGCCAGTTGACCTCACAGGACCCACCGGCTCTCGCCCGCGTCGCCCACGTGCAAGGCCAGCCTAGAAAATCGGGTCTCCAAGAGTCCCTTGTGCCGACCTTGGTTCGACGGTGGAAGAGCGAATGGGCGAATGGGAAGCTGTAATATGAGTTTGTTTTTTTTTCACCATTGGTGTTCCGGGAATCTCGGAGATGTCAAGACTTGGAAGTGGAGATGTTGATTTTTGGCCGCCAAGACTTGGAGGAGGAAAAAGGATCCAAAAACAGACCTAATTGAGGTAGATGTCAAGTCTATGAAACCCAGTATAATATAGTGCAATTGTATGTGTGTTTGGCTTGACTCAGAGGTTGCGAGTTTGGTGGATGGCTTGACCAGATGTCCAGCAAATTTCTTTGTGGCGGTGGAAAGCAACAAACCATCTCATACCATTCAACAATATGGCATAATCCAGCAGTCACAAAGCGGTGCTTAATGGAGGTTAGGGGTGCCCATTATCCACTCACTTAAGGACTAAACACCACCCCTTTGTGACTCCTGGATGTAGGCTCTTGATTTATGACCGCCCCGGTATCAAGAGTCTACGACAATATCACATGATCTCCTTTGATAGTATGACAAATGATAAATGGTTTCCTGCTACTTGATCTGCAAGGCTTTCAGGCTTCAGGCCAGCTGTTGTCTAGTTGTGTTCTTCAACCATTACCCATGCTGAAATGCTGCACTGGCAGGGACAATTACTATCATGACAGGTGTTTGCTATTTACTTTTGCAGGAGTTCTACATGTCGTTGCCATGTTCGGGAGACTTGGACAGCTGGAGGTTTAGGGCGGGCGACAGCGTTGTAATGTTTTCCATGGCACCCATGTCCTTCAGTGAAGGGGACCGGGACCGGTGTATCCCAGTTTTGGCCGGCAGATTTCGCTTCTCAGGTCTGCACAAGCCTTCTCAGCCGATTACTGAGCGACGCATCATGTGCTCGAAATCAACGAAGGTTGATGCGAATGGCGGCTGACAGGGCAGCACATGTTTTAGCCAACAGCGATAGGTTCCAGACTGTGCTGTTGATATGTCATGTATATCAACCTGACTGGGCGATAGGTTTGGTTTGGTCATGTCCACCTATAACCATTACGCAGCACCAAAATACAGTGAACAGTTCGCCCAAATACGATTATTAAACTACAATGTTTTTTTATAATTGGCCGGATGATGAATTGAAAGGATTAATCGACGTGCATATATATTATATAATTTGTTTAAACATTCTTATATATATATATACGTGTGTGTGTGTCTTCTTTTCCTGAATACCATGAAAGTCGTGTGAACAGAGTTTGACCTTTGTTTCACCTTAACGTTTGGTTCCTGCATGTGGAGTCCATTGGATTCCTGTCAAGCATTGCTTAAATAGAAAGAACTAAAAAGACACGGTTAACTGGAGGAGGACCAGCATATGGTCCTTTTTTAACAGCAGCTGTTCATGGTCCAGAAGCACGGCCAAGACGAGCCAATCTCCAAACCCACGGAGATCAGAGCCACAGTTGGTGGACATTGACCTTTTGGCTCATGGAAACCACCTCGATGTAGTGATATATGCCCGGTACAATGCCCACCATATCCCACCATTATGAAAAAGAAGCAGCTATCAACAGCTCTGTCATGGTGGTGGTAGTGCTGGTGGTGGTGGCAACCCTGATTGGGTTCAGCATCAGTGCGTGCCGTGTTTTCGAGGAGGCATCACCTTCCGTTCAATTCTCGTAGAGCTACTCGTTGGACGGTGGGGGTTGGACGCTATTTCCGAGATTGACACTGGAACTCAGCGTCATCAAGTGGCATGACCAATAATGACTATTATATAGTCTTCAAATCTGTCCTCAGATTTGCTGAAGGTTTCCTGAGGGCAGGGGTTCCGAAAGGGTGCGCAACGAGGGCACTACTATTGTCCTCCCTCCAGACCTGACTGGGATTCGATGTGTTCTGCAGAGATTGGAAGCTAACTATAGAACTGTCTCGAATCTGTACAGAAGCTATCTATTTATTTGTAGAACTATATAAACTTAATTGTGCTTCTAGCTTTTACACATGACGTATACAGCTTGTGATGCTCCGGTGTTCATCCTGTCGAGCCAATACTATATGATTAAGAATATTCTTTGAAAAGTTTCCCTGCCCAAAGAAGCTTCACCATCCAGTTTGTAGGCAGGACGAAGGGTGGCATCAACTGTTGACCTGGGAAATATTCTGGGCTAAGCCAAAGGGAGCAGCTGGAGAACGATACTCTCAAGAATGACTCTTGACATGATGTGCATCCCAATATTCACTTTAAGATCGCTGAAGAGGATCCACATATGTTCTTGCAACGGAGACAGTGATTCCAATCACCTCCGTGAACATCCTTGCTGTAGCTAAGCCCTATCATGTTCTATTGAACAAAAGAAGATCTTCGCTAGTACGATCCTTTTGCTACTAGGTTCGAGGCCTGCTTTTAGGTTGCAGGCCATGGCTTTTAGGTTGGAGGCCATCGCGTTTAGATTGGAGGCCATCGCTTTTAGGTTGGAGGCCATCCCTTTCAGGTTGGAGGCCATCGTGAGTAGTTTGTTTTTGCTATTAGAGATGCGATTCTTTATGATTCTTTTCTTCTCCGAAAAGAACCTTCCCACCGTGCAGCTCCTCGTCGCAGCGGAAGGCAGCTCCGGCGAGCGGAAGCGTCACCTTTGTTTCGGTCGACCAACTCGACTGACGAGGAAGGCAGTTCGCCGGGTGGAAGGCGGTCCATCTTTGGGTGAAGGAATGGTGAACGCCTTACTGCTCACCGTTTCCTCAACAAAGTACCGGTACGAGTTGAAATCGAGTTTAAACAGATTCGGAAGGACGTGAATTTCTGGACTGTCACCTTTGGGATGCTCATCTACTTCCAGTTGCTATAGTTACTATACTAAAACTACAAGACGTCATAATATAATGTCTTATTCACTTACAATTCAGCTACAACCATATATTAAAAGTATTTAAACGTAATCACTAATCACACATAATAACATTATGTAGTCAGTACGTGTTTGACAAACAAAAAACACATCAGGAAAATTTGTTTCAGTTCTTCATCCAGACCTGGCTGCCTCAGCCCTGGCCTCGCTTCGCTGGTGCGGTCACCGGCCATGAATTTCGCGAGTCGAGGCCAATGTGCTCGACCGGGGTGGGCAGATGGAGTGAGCTAGTGATTCTTAGCAGAAAGACCATATATACAAATAGGCAGATTAACTATTTACATATAAATCTTGCCAGATTCTTTTCACCATGAGCTCCCTGGGAGTATGAGATTCTGACTGAGAGGGATTTGTTCTTCCTGCCCAGTGGGATTTTTTTGGCCACTTAAATCCATGAGGTGGAAGGATATAATATGCTGATCTTTCCTTTCCAGGGATCTTTGGCTGAAAAGAATGCCTTTGGTGCAGACTTTGTACACCTTTCGTAACCTGAACATACCTGAGCCATCTGGGCACAAAACAGGAGCGCACATGCTGTAAGCCATGTTTGCATGGTAGCGTCCCGCGGTTCGGTCGAGGCCCGAGGACGAGCGGCCTTGCAGGGACGTGTGCAGCTCCTTGGTGACCGGGAGCTCACACGAGTGGGTTGGAAGTTGACGGCATTGCTTGCCGTGTGTTGGATCCTGATTTGGTCAGGGATCCCGCTCGCTGCAGTGGGCTGGTGGCTGGATGACGACGATGGAGGATCTTGCAGCAGCCCTTCAACAATTGCAGCAGCAGGTGTTGACGACCCAAGCAGACAACCAGGTCCTTAGGGAACGACTGGCCACGTTCGAGGCACAAGCAGCCCTCTCCCCATCTCATGGAGCTGGGATGTCACCTGAAGCCAGAGAGGTGGTGGCGGCACTTCGGGGCTTGCCAGAAGGTGTAGGGAAGCTCGCGAAGCCGAAGGGTCTCATTGACCCTCGAGGGCTTGGAAAGCCTCAGATCCTCGGCGAGAACGCCGATGAGAAGTTCAGGTTGTGGGCGATCAAGCTCGAGGACTATGTGAGCGGCGTCTTCGGTGGCAAGAGCCGAGAAGTGTTGGAATGGGCAGCATCCATGGACACCGAGATCACGCCGGCAGAGATCGAAGCAGGCTATGGAAGCAGCGCAGACATCTTGGACCAGTGGGATGAGGTGCACGAGTTCAATGAGCAGCTCTACACGGTGTTGAGAGCTACGACGGAAGGCAATCCGTTTGACCTCGTCGAGAACTGTGCAACCGGCGCTGGACGCTTGGAGGAGCCTGCACCGCCGGTTTGACCCGGCCACTGGATCTCGGAAGCGAGTGATGCTTCAGGCCTTGACAAACCCTGAGCGTGCTAGCTATGACACCCTTCAGGGGGCCTTGGAGAGGTGGAAGGCCTTGCGGTCAAGGTACGACCGGAAGAAGGATCAGTTCGGCTCACGAGAGGCCCTGCCGGAGTCTCTCGCGATGAGCGCCTTAGAGAAACTGGTCCCGAAGGAGCTTGTGACCCACCTCATGTTGAACTACGCCCGCTTCAAAACCTTTGAGGAGATGGAGAGAGAGGTGATCAACTTCATGGAGGCGAAGACAGGCTCTCGCATGGTGGTCAGCTCAAACTTCGCAAAGCCGTCAGGGGGCAACTCTGGCCCAGTGCCCATGGACGTGGACAGCCTCGACAAGGTCGTGTCGGGCAACCTCGCTTCGATAGTGAAGAAGGGAGGAAAAGGTGATGGCAAAGGGAATGCCAACAAGATCAAGTTTGATGGGACCTGCGACAACTGTGGCAAGTATGGCCACCGTAAGCATGATTGCTGGAGTAAGCCCACAGGAGCAGGCAAAGGATCTACATCCAGGAGTCCGACATCGAGCCCAAAGAAGGAGGTGAAGTTCACTGGAACCTGCAATCATTGCGGGAAGCCAGGGCACAAGAAGGCAGAGTGCTGGGCGGCTCAGGGAAAGGGGAAAGGTGGCAAAGGAGGTGGAAGTGGTAAGGGCAACAACAACAAGAACTCCGCGAATTCCCTTGACCTTCCTGAACCTGAGCCACGACCTGGTGATGCAAATGGGTTGGAACTTTGTGCATTGAACATCTGCACATTGGAGGAGGAAAGGAGCTCAATACGCAGTGGAAGCAGAAGAACATCGACCTTGAGGAGTCAGAGCCATCGAACATCAACCAGGACAAGATCGACCAGAAGAGGAGAGGAGAGTTCGGCGGCAGACAGGTCGGCATCCTCAGTTGAGTCATCCGACTCAGTGGAAAAGCCCTGGTTGAAGTGCAATCTTGACACAGGTGCCTCGGTGACCGTCTTCCCCAGAGGCATGTTTGAGGCTGGAGAGCCCAATGAGATGAGGTTGAAGACACCTTCAGGAGAAGTGGTGAAAGCATATGGGAAGGCCACGGTCCATGGCAAGGATGATGACGAAGCTCAATGGGGAGGTCGCCGACGTCCACAAGATCCTGGTGAGTGCAGCAAAGTTGCACGAGAAGGGACACACATCATGGATTGTGCCTGGTGGTGGAGAGATCATTCCCTTGAACCATCCGGTGAGCAAGGCCATGATTGCTGCCTATCACAAGGCGGTGGACGAGTTCGGCAAGATGGGCATCATTCCCGTCCCTCAATGAGGAGGAGGGTGCAAGGCCACACTTGGTGGCACAGGACCGGAAGACCGGGATGATGATGGCCACTGCCCTCAACCAGAAGGGCGCGGTGGACACGACAGGACAGAAGTTGCTCACGAGGTTCCTGGAGCTGTTGGGCTACAAGGACATCGTGCTGAAGAGTGACGGCGAGCACTCGTTGGTGAGGATGAAGAAGGCGGCCGGAAGGGACGCCAAGAATTTGGTCAAGACCATTTGTGAGGAGAGCCCTGCTGGAGATTCGAGAGCGAATGGAGAGGCAGAGGCTGCAGTGAGAGAAGTGAAGTGGAGGATCAAAGCCGTCCACTTGATGTTGGAGAAGAAGATTGAGGGTGGCTTGCCAGGCCAGAAGGACACCCGCTTGCGCTGTGGATCCCACGCTATGTGGCTGAGCAGTCAAATCGCTACAAGGTGGGAGCAGATGTGAGGACGCCTGAGGAGAGAAGGACAGGCAAGAAATGGATTAAGCCTATGCCGGTCTTCGGTGAGAAGATCTTCATCAAGCCGGCAGGGAAAGGCAAGAAGTCAGATGCCTCAAAGATGAAGGAGGCCCGGTTCCTTGGGTGCCACAATCGCTTTGGCAGCGTGTTGGGCATGACCAAGGAAGGCGTCTTGGTGGGCACCGGATTTCACACGGTGGCTGAAGGGGAGAAGTGGGGACCATTGGAGTTGGACTTGAAGGGGGCCCCATGGGATGTCCGTGCCTATGTTCGAAGGTTGCCTGATGAACCCATTCCAGCACCTTCGACGCCAGCCGTGGTGGTGGTTCCTTCGACCCCTATGGCAGCTCAGGGACTTCCTGGAGATGCAGGCCTGACCTCAAGCGCACCGAGGGCAGAGGAGGAGGCTCCGGCGGCGACGACAGAGGCTGAGGTTGGAGGACCGAGCACGAGTCCACAGACGCCGACGGCCACGAGAGCATGGCCGGTGAGGAGGGAGCACCTTGTGAAGTTTGGGCGCACTGCAGAGTGCCCGGGGTGCCTGTCGATCCTGAAAGGAGCAGGATTCCAACAAGTGGCTCACAACGAGGCTTGCAGATCGAGGATCAAGAAGCGCTTGGTTGAGGAGCAGCAGGCAAAGGCCGAGGAGACCAAGAGGTTGAGAGAGGAGCACACGATGGGTCGGAGAAGTGGGACTTGGACCGTGAGCTGGTGACGAGCTCACCGCCGTGCACCACGTTCAGCCCGCTGAGGAGACTCTCGGACTTCAAGCGGGACAAGAAGATGGTGGATGAGGAGAAGGAGATTGGCAGAGCACGACTCCGGAAAGTCATGGCAAGAACCTGAGGTGCAAGAGATGATCGAAAGGAAAGATACCTACCTGGTGCAGAGCCCAATGTGCAAGTTCGGCATGAAGATGGACAATGATGCCGGAGAACGGTGCTATGTCCGCAAAGAGACTTTGTGGCTGACGAACTCCAAGCACATCGCAGAGGAGCTTGAAGGAGTGTGCATCAACAAGCTCAAAGGGCGTGAAGTTCATCGGCATGTGCACCTCATTGGCCGGGATCGTGCCAAAGCAGCTCAAGTGTACCCAGTTCCGCTGGTGGAAGCGATCCTTCGAGGTTTGAAGAAGGAGCTGGTGAACAATCAGGCACTGAGCGCGGTGGAGGAGCTTCTCAATGGACCATCGCCCGACAATGGCAATGAGATGGACATGGAGCTAAAGCAGTGGGAGGAGGAGCAGTACATGGATGATGTGTCGGGTGCATTGCTCGACCCTGAGTTGGTCAAGAAAGCCCGGGAGCTAGAGTTGCAGTGGCTGAAGAAGGAAGAAGTCTACATCCGAGTTCCTCGGAGGGAGGCCACCGGAAAGCTCCTGCAGTGGAAGTGGATTGATGTCAACAAGGGCGACAATGAGAACCCGTTCGTGCGCAGCAGAATGGTGGCCAAGGAGATCAAGAAGGCCAAGCCGGTGGAGATGCAACTTGGTGGAGCAGACACTTTCTCCGCTACTCCACCGATTGAGGCTGTGTACACCCTGCTGAGCGCTTTCATGTCCAAGGACCCCAAGAAGGGCGAGCTCAAGCTCGCGAACTGGGACATCTCCCGTGCCCATTTTATGGGGCGTGCTGCACGTGACATATTCATGGAGTTGCCGGAGCAGGACATGGTGCCAACCGACCAAGAACCCATGGTCGCGAAGCTCATGCGGAGCATGTACGGGACCCAGGATGCGAGTAAAATCTTTCAGGAAGATTATCAAGAATGGCTGAAGCAGAACGGAGGAACATTCTGCCCGCTGTGTCCAGCCATCTTCAGGTTTGAGGAGCGTGGACTACTTGGACTGGTCCACGGCGACGATTTCCTGGTGGTGGGTGAAGATGCTCAGCTTCGCTGGTTGGATGACATTCTCAACAAGAAGTACACGGCGAAGTGGGAGAACCTCGTTGGGGATGGACCTGGCGACAAGAAGTCAATGACCTTCCTGAATCGCCTCATCAAGTACATCCCAGATGGAACGGACCAAGGAGGACGACGCCTTGAGATTGAGGCTGACGCACGGCACGCTGAAATCCTGTTGAGAGAGTTTGGCTTCAACAAGTCAACAAAGGGATGTGACGTGCCGGAGGACAAGATGACGCAGGCCGAGTTGGTGGAGGCAGATCGGCAGCCAGTCCTTGAGAGCAAGCAGGTGAGCCTCTACCGATCTATGGTGATGAGGATGGCCTACATGAGCAGCGACCGTCCAGACCTATGCCATGTGGTGAGGACCTTGGCATCAGCGATGAAGAGCCCCAAGATGGTGGATTGGCAGCGGCTCAAGAAGGCCGTAAGGTACTTGGTGAAGGTGCCGTACCCCAAGAGGGTCTTCCATGAGCAGCCCATCGAGAAGTTCAGTGGTGGCGCTCTCAGACTCTGATTGGGCAGGACCTCAGGAGCAGGAGATCGACCACCGGTGCAGTCATTAAAGCTGGAGATCACACCATTTTGGTGAAGGGAACGTCGCAGAAGATTGCGGCCCTCTCCAGCTGCGAAAGCGAGTTTTACGGAATGCGCCGTATGGCGACTCACGCCGAGCTCGTGAAGGGCATCATGGCTTTCTGGGGGTTCGAGACCCAGAAGGTGAAGTTGATGGTGGACAGCTCGGCAGCAAAAGCAATGGCCGAGCGGAAAGGAGTGGGAGTGAATCGGCACGTTCAAGCTCGCTACCTCTGGCTCCAAGACAAAGTCTTCAACAAGGAGCTGGAGGTGAACAAAGTGCCGGGCAAGATCAATGATGCAGATCTTGTCACGAAGGTTCAGCCCAAGTCGGTGATCTTGGCACACTTGGCACGGCCGGGCTTTGAAAACAGCGGAAGAGAAGGGCATAAGGGCTTAACTTGACAGCCTGGAACCCAAGCTCCGCTACCTGCTTTTGACCCCGCGAAGTTACCGCTTTCGATGAAACGATCAACGCGGTTCAGGGGGTGCAGACTTTGTACACCTTTCGTAACCTGAACATACCTGAGCCATCTGGGCACAAAACAGGAGCGCACATGCTGTAAGCCATGTTTGCATTTGGATCTATTTGGATGCCAGATGATGCCAGATCCTTGGACTTTCATGTGAACATTCTACGAAAGTTAGTTGTATATGCAACATGTGTTCCTATTTCCTGGTTAGTTACAATGAATTATATGGGACATTATAGGGATGGGTCAAAACCTGTAGCCCCGGTCCACCATGGAGCGAAGGACCTAGGTCTTGACCCACTGCCATTCCATGCCACACCACTCCCACATCTCGCCACCGGCGCGATGAAAAGAAACGTCGGCTCGAAGGATGCGCGGATCGCACGGGGCTTTGGAAGCATAGGTTCTATCCCCGGGGGATTGACTATGTCAACAGGGGATGAAATGAACGAGTTGGTGTCAGGAGGTTGTGTTCAAGTCTGTTTTCCAGCTGCAGGGTCAGTTTATTAGCTATGTTGAAGCTTCCCAGCCCATTGAGGTGAAGGGGGCGACCGAAGACTGAACTGTCAAGGGAACAACATATTCCCTGGGTTCTGATCTTCTTGGGAAGCAGCAGAAAACACACTAACCACTAGCAATACACGGTATTTGCCATATTTGCGGTATTTTGCAGGAGAAAGACTGACCAAACATCCAATCATATCAGTGCTGAAGAAAAGGCACACCAAGAATTGGATCTATAATCTATTCACTCCATACTTATGTTGAAATCATGGTGCTCCTCATTCTATTTATGACATTATATGACTGGCTTTATACCTGTTCTTTATACCTGTTCTTTCAAGTTACACCACCTGAATTCGCGCTTCCTGGACCCCAACGCCCGCGATCGCTGCCCTGGTCACGCCAGGCATCGACCAATCCCAGGCAGCGGAGGCCTCACCCTTCGAGGACGACGACGACGAGGAGCGTTCTGGGGCGGGTGTGACAGACTTGAGAATCAAAGGGATTTGAGCTATGATTCCCTATGATATCCCTATGGTTCCCTTTGGACCAATATTTACTGATGGGATTTGAGATGACCAGCCGCCATTTCAGTCTATAGAAGATGTCAATGCAATCAAATCATTGATGTTATATCGACCTGTGATGGGGGCTGCCCGTGGTTCATGTGTTGGGGCTCAGGTCCATTGGTCCATTAGGATTTGTTCATCAACCTTCCCCACAAAAGTATAGGTGTTTCTTTGACAATCCTGTGCTTATGCGTCGGGGGTTATACCAATCAACAGGCCACAGACAGGACACATGTGTCCTTTCTCGATTGGTTCTGTTCAACTGTTGGCGGAGGAGTTGCGCGTCTCATGAGTTGCGCATGGCAATGATGGGGTGTTTTTGAGGTAGATTCTGTTTGGTACAAGAAGGAAGACAAACGACAAGACAAAGGCAACAAAGGTTCCAGTCTTGATGTGTTTCCAGGCAGCCACGGAAAGCTGGCTTCGAGGAAACACGTGCAAATCATATCAAATAATCATTTCAGAAAGCATCCAAGCTGAGAAACATGGGATGCATCCAGCAGGAAAACCTGGACAAGAAGTGCGAGCTGTTTGGGGATTGACGAATTTCAGTGTTGAACTATATATACATGTTTAGTTTTGTTAAGGATTTTGCCAGTTGGTCTTAAAAAATATATATCTCCTCTGTGCCACTGTGCAGCCATGGCGGCCTTTGCTGTTCAATCTGGTGCCAATGGTGATGCAGAGGAAGGACTCCTCAACATTCAGGTGGGTTCGACCAATCTGGGCAATCGATCAAGAATGATAAAGAGCTCAAAACGAAATCCCTCGGGAATCCACATGCTTTTGGACCACGTGACTTCGGTTCGGGTTTCCGATGTTTTTGGTTGCTCACTCGAGCCGAACAGCTCCGACCGCGAACGACACCTGGGACCGGTGTGTCCTGTCTGGTCCAGTGAAAAGAGGCGCTTCCAGGTGACCCCAGTCAGGAAGGTGCTGGTAGATTGAGTGAGTTTCATGTTGGGCCCTTCCTCCTTTTCTTTCTTCGGACTGTGGACGGACTGACCCACGACTGGTCGCACGACTGGGCGCACGACTTGGCCAGTTGCGCAAGATCGAATCTGAGTATATGAGTGTGTGGGGGGTGAGATGGGTGACAGCAAGGAGTTGAAAGAGTTTGGTGTTTCTTTGAAAACTCTTTGAGCCATCAAATATATTAATATTAATCTACAAAGAATTGCAGGATCAAATTCTCCTGGGTCTTTTGACTCCCAAAACCAGGCCACTGACCATGCCACCGCAGTGCTGTTCGACTGTTCGATCGAACACGGTTTCTGGCGATCCAGCTTTCTCTTCGTGGGCACCGTAGCAGGTCTCGGGCATGGACGGCACAGATCTCCTGCTGACGGTGTCGGTTCAGCTGTTGGGATCTGAGTTGCTAGACCTCATCCATGAGCGGCTAGGAAGTCATCGAGGAGCAATCACCGTGCAGAGCCTTGACATATTTCATTTGAAGTGAATGAGTGCTTCCCTACAAGTCAGTGAACACCTCATTTCACTGGAGATGGTCATACGAAACCAATACTCGAGGAGGTAAATGACAAGCTTTTATTGGGTCAGACTGGACTTTGTTGCGATGGTTTTGTGATGGGACAAATGTTCGCTTTTACTCTGTGTACCCTATAACGCTATGTTTTGGTACTGTTTGTTGTTTCAAACATAGATGTTGCTAGTGATGTTTTTTGCAAGCCTTGCTCCAAGCTTTGCTCCATGTCAGGACAGCAGAATGTGTAAATGAGTAGCGCTCGTGGGGATAGTCGGCCCATGGAGGGGCCCCCCATCCTTCACCCGAAACGATCCCATACTGGCCCAGGTGAACATGTTAGTTTCCACCGGTGCAGGCTGAGCAAAGGGGCAAGAGGGGACTCTTTTTTGGCACAAGTGGATCTGTTTGGGAAAATTCAAGGCAAGCGGGACCCATAGACGTGACAGCCCACCCGACCCTCTCAATATTGGGCACTTTGCGTATATCGTATCCAAGAATAGAGGACGCCCAGTAGGACGCCCATGTGTTGGTTGATTTGTGGAGCAACGAACCAACTACAAGTGGGCATCAAAACCATTGGTGGTGTTGATCTATAGTGACTGACAGACAGTCTAAGGAAAGGATCTATGATGCTATCCAGGACTCAGACTCTCCAAGAACAAGGGCTGATTGACTTGAGCTACCTGAGCTATGTGTATTTGCCCACTAACTTCAAAGATGCTTGGAGGCTTCTCAGAGACTTACCAGTTGACCATGATTGGGGACTTCTCAGAGACTTACCAGTTGACGATGAATTGACCGCTCTAGATGGCATAGGCAGAGTGGAAGGCATTCAGACATTGGATCAGCTCAGGGCGCTGCCTAGACTTCTTCGCAGTCTCAAATTTGGTGATCGCTTCGACTTCTGTCTGGAGCAAGTGGTTTTTCCCCGAGAGCTGGAAAGTCTCAGCTTTGGCCAGGACTTTGACCAAAGCCTTGCAAGAGTGACCTTCCCGAAAAGCCTTCGCAGTCTAACATTTGGCCAGAAATTTAACCAGACGTTGGTGGGGGTGGCCTTACCCAGCCTTCACAGTCTGATATTTGGCCGGAGGTTCAACCAAAGTTTGGCTGGAGTGGCTATGCCGAGTGGCCTTCGGAGCTTGACTTTTGGTTTTGATTTCAACCAGAGTTTAGCTGGCGTAGTTTTTCCCAATAGCCTCCAGACCTTGACATTTGGTGACTCATTCAACCAGAGCTTGGATGGAATCCATTTGCCTGGTAACCTCGAAAGTTTGGAGTTTGGCCTGAAATTCAATCAGAGACTAGGATCTTCTTTGCCGCAGAGCCTACAAAGACTAACCTTAGGCTTTTCGTTCAACAAAAGTTTGGAAGGAATCGCGCCACTGCCCCCAAGCCTGCGGAGCCTGCGCTTTGGCAGTCGATTCAACCAAAGCTTGGAACAAGTGACGTGGCCCAGTAGTCTGGAACATCTCACATTCGGACACCAATTCAACCAGAGCTTGGAGAGAGTTTTATGGCCTCAAAGACTACAGAGTTTGACATTTGGCTTTGAATTCAATCAGAGGTTGCAACACGTGAGCTGGCCGAGCAGTCTGCAGAATCTTTCATTTGGAGAAGGATTTAATCAGACCTTAGACGGGGTTGCATTTTCCATTGGCCTGCAACATCTTGCTTTTGGCTATGAGTTCAACCAGATTTTGGATCAAGTGAGTTTTCCCAGCCATCTTCAGTCGTTGGCTTTTGGTGAGGAGTTCAACCAAAGTGTCGAGGGAGTTGAATTTCCCGCGAGCCTCAAAAGTCTTAGCTTTGGCTCTGAGTTCAACCAGAGTTTGGAGCGAACAACTTTGCCACAAAACCTTGAACGCCTGAGCTTTGGCAACAAATTTAATCAGAGTCTCGACGGTTTGACTCTACCAAGCCTTCAAAGTCTACAGTTGGGGAGTGGCTTCACTCGCTGCTTGGAGTGGGTCTCGCTTCGATCATTGCATGATCTCACTCTCTACAGCGTTTGCAATCAGTGTTTGCAGCGATTGGCTTCTTTCGGCTTCCTCCAACACCTGACACTTTGCTGTGGCTTCACCAGGGGCGACGCGGAGGCGGAGAGCGCGGAGAGGCCGCAGCCCTTGACCTTCCCCAATGGCCTTCAAAGCTTGACCTTTGGCAGTCGCTTCAACCAAAGCTTGCAAGGGGTTGTGCTCCCAACCTCGCTCCGGAGTCTGACATTTGGCAATTCGTTCAATCAGAGTCTGGCGGGAGTGGAGTTGCCCAGCAGCCTGCAGTGTCTTCACCTTGGTGGCAAATTCAACCAGAGTTTCGAAGGGGTGTCTCTTCCTGCATCCCTTCAAACCTTAAGTGGTGGTGAGCTCTTATTGAGCGTTTGAACATGTCTCTAAGAATGAATCTTATATGCAGTGTTGGCGGCCAAAAGGCTTGAGTTCGCAGGACTTGGCTGCATTTGTGGATGACTGAGGAGTAGGCTTCATCGAGGGTGTGTGCTCAGGCCATCAAAATGAGCCTCGACTCGTTGGGGCTGTTTCTTCTTGGGCGTACTGGACAGCGCTACGTGTACTAGTATACTAGCACTAGCCGTCAATGACCAGATATTTCAGATTGGTGGTTCTATGTGGTTCCATCGATGTCCAGTGTAAAAAACTGACTGCTCCAAGCACCTCAATTCAGCGCCTCCAAAAACTGTGGTCTCTATGCCTACGATGCGTTGACAGTCCAAAGACCATTTCTCCATGTTCGATACTTCTTGTCTTCTACCATAAATGTTTTTTTTGGGGGAAAATGGTAGATACCATTTTAGAGAAGTATCAGTATATGGTATCTTTTTAGATCGATCTGGAAGACCATTTGTATACCATGTTCTTTCTCCCAGACCACCTCACCCCGTCCCATCTGCAAACCGCCCGCCCTCCACGCGCCACACCCCAGGATTGCTTGCCCTCCTTGGCGCGCTGGCTCCGCGTCAGCCGGGGGACGTCAGACGTGACGTGTCGGTGCGACCGTGGGGCCGGGCGACCGTGGGCGACATGACTCGTGCAGCGATCCACAAGAAGACCTGAAAGATGAAACCAGACCAATCGGATCATAGGACCACATTGGAAGATGATTGAAGATTATTTATATATGAATTAATATTATATTTGATTTTTCAGTGATTGGCATTGGCGACGATTGTTGGTCGCTGCAGAGTGAATGCTATGAGTTTCGAGCCCTTGAACATAATGTATAAAGTATATATTTAATTATCAAGCTTGTATTTTGGAAGTTGCGAATAAGATCACAAAACAATTCAGTGGACCCGCAGTCCGCATGTGTATCCATGTGTGAATGAAGGCGCTTTTTCGGGTGCTGCTACGGAAAGAAGCTAAGGCGCAACCTCATGTGTTGTTGGTACATGGTAAGCAGCATGGGCACATGGTCTCCTGTCGGAGTAGGTCGCAGATGCCCCACCCTCCCACGCTCCATGGTAGGATACTCTCCGGCAAACGATCCCAATGGAACCCGAGAAATTGACCGGTGGTTTCGTCGACCATTTTCCGAAGACCAACCCGCCGATGTGATAACTTGGGGTTCCATGTGGTCCGAATAGCAGGAGAGTGTGATTTTGGGTGACTGCCCCAATCGAAATCAGGAGCAGAGGGACATGTCACAACTATATTGGTGATTGGTGAGCCTGTCGACCAAAGTCCCCATCTCCGGAACCTGCACCAAGGGCTATCCTCTTTGTACATGCTCTATTCATTCAGCACGCAATCCGCACTTGTTTAGCTGCTTTATATTGCTGGAAAGGGATGCCTAAGCACAGCAGAGCATGACTGGGGAGTGGAGATGTTTCTCAGAAGAGGCCCCGACGATGACAGAAGAATTACCTGAAGAGATCTATGAATTGTACATGTGCAGGACTGCCAGGAAGGGTGGTTTCCGATGGAACTCATCATGCCATATCTCTTCAATGCTAGTTGTGCCAGTTCTTCCCTTCTCGAAGGTTTCCCCTTCGCTGGTCTTGCACCAGCCGAGACGGCGCGTACAGACACGTAGGACTTGCCACCAACCGCACTGAACTGGAAAATTTAAGGGATCTACTACACCCCAACCAACTCTCCATACCAGACCTTGTCAGACAGAGCGACGTGATACTGTACTCAAACTTTTGAGGTGAAAAATATGTGAGGAACTGCGAGCCCCCTTCATTCCCCCCTTGTGTTTCATCCATTGCCCCTCGAGCCCCCTTCATTCCCCCCTTGTGTTTCATCCATTGCTCCTCGAGCCCTCTTCATTCCCCCCCTTGTGTTTCATCCATTGCCCTTTTCAGCCTCCTTCATTCTCCCCTTGTGTTTCATCCATTGCCCCCTCGAGCCCCCTTCATTCCCCTGTTGTGTTTCATCCATTGCCCCCTCGTCCGTTGCCCCCTCGAGCCCCTTTCATTCCCCCTTGATCCCCCTTGTGTTTCATCCATTGCCCCCTCGAGCCCCCTTCATTCCCCCCTTGTGTTTCATCCATTGCCCTCAAGCCCCCTTCATTCTCCCCTTGTGTTTCATCCATTGCCCCCTCGAGCCCC